TAATCAGAACGTGGAATGTACAAAGTATGAATCTAGGAAAATTTGAAGTCATCAAAGAACGAACAGATCTGTCCTGGAAGAAATACAACCAGAATGCTCCTTAGAAGTAAGGATGGCGAGACTATATCTCACATACTTTGGACATGTTGTTAGGTAAAGTAGAGGGTCATTGAAAAAGAGGAGGCCCCTTAGTGAGATGGATTGACACAGTGGCTGCAACAATGGGCTTAAGCATAACAACAATTGTGAGGATGGCGCAGGACCAGGCAGTGTTTCATTCTGTGGTACATAAGGTTGCTATGAGTGGGAACCGACTCAATGGCACCTAACAACAACAACACGGGCAGCTGATCTTCAACAAGGGGTCAAAGTTCATTCAATGGGGAAAAAACAGTCTCTTTAACAGATGGTGCTGGCAAAACTGTGTATCTATTTACAGAAAAATGAATCACGATCCATACCTCACATCATACACAAAAACTTACTCAAAATAGATCAAAGACCTAAATGTTATATCTAAAACTATTAAGTTACTAGAATATAACATAGGGACAAAACTAGGGGACCTAATTTTAGGCATATATAGTCAATCAAACACAACTAATAATGCACAAACAACAGAAGGTAAATTAGATAACTGGGACCCCCCGAAAGTTAAACACTTATGCTCATCAGAAGACTTTACCAAAAGAATAAAAAGAGAACCTACAGACTGGGAAAACAATTTTTGAGAATGGCATATCTGACAAGGCTCTAATCTCTAAAATATATGGAAAACTTCAACAACTCAACAACAAAAATACACATAATCCAATCAAAAATGTTCAAAGTTCACGAAGAAATAGTTCACCAAAGAGGATGTTTAGGCAGTCAACAAACACAGGAAGAGATTCTCATGGTCATTAGCCATTAGAGAAATGCAAATGAGAACTACAATGAGATACTACTCCTGCAAAAATAGTAATGATAAAAAAAAACCCAAAAAACAGAAAACAACAAATGTTGGTGAGATTGTGGGGAAATTGGAACTCTTACATGCTGCTGTTGGGAGTGTAAAATGGTATAACCACTATGGAAAATGATATGACAGTTCCTCAAAAGCTAGAAATATAAATGCCTTCGGATTCAGTAATCCCACTCCTAAGTATATATCAAGAGACATAACACCAGTGACATGAATAGACATATGCACAGCTATGTTCACTGCAGCATTATTCATGATAGTAAAAAATGGAAACAACGTAAGTGCCCATCCACAGGTGAATGGATAAACAAATTGTGTACGTACATACAATGGAATACTATGCAACTATAAAGAATAATGAGTCTGCAAAACATCTTATAACATGGATGAATCTGGAAGATATTATGCTGAGTGAAATAAGTCAATCAGGAAAGGACAAATATAGTATGGTCTCACTATTATAAAAAGTCAAGAATAGGTATACACACGGAAAGCAACATTCTTTGATGATTAATAAGGATGGGCGGGAGAGGAAAGGGAAATCACTTTCTAGATGGTAGACACTTATTATTTCTGGTAATGGGAAAGGTAATACCAAACATCGGTGAAGTCTGTACAACTCAACCAAGATAAACGAAGAAACAAGGAAATGTGCAAGAAAAGAGACAGTTTTGGTAAATATTATAACATATACAATTTCATGGCAACAATAACAACCAAAAAATATGAATATGGTTATATAGGTAGATATGTATGCATATATATGTATAGGAAGGCACATGCAAGTACATGTATGTGCATATATAGGTGTACCAGTAGGCATATGTATGTACATGTTTGTGTGTGCTGCATATGTATTTATATATAATAAATCACATAGGAGACACAGCTATGGAGACTTTCTAGACCTATCCAAACACCTCACAGGACTGGTTTACTGGGTTAAAAGGCTTAGAACCATCATCTCGGGAGACAACTCAGTCAATTAGCATAATGTAGTCATAAAGATAATATTCTCCATCCTAGTTTGGTGAGTAGCATCTGGGATCTTAAAAGCTTGTGAGCAGCCGTCTAAGATACAACTATTGGTCTTTACTTGGCTGGAGCAAAAGAGAACAAAAGAAACCAAAGGCTCAAAGAAGAAACTAGTCCACAGGCCTCTTCTAGTCTGAGACCAGAAGAACTAGGTGGTGCCCGGCTACCACTGCCAACTGTTCTTACCAGGGAAAGAATAGAAGGTTCCAGATAGGATGGGAGAAAAAAGCAGAACAAAATTCAAATTCCTAAAAATGGCCAGAATTATTGAACCAATAGAAACTGGAGGAACCCCTAAAATTATCACTCTAAGATATCCCTTGAACTAGGAACTGAAGCAACTCCTGGAGGTCACCTTTCAGACAAATAATAGATTGGCTTGTAAAATAAACAGTATCACCCGTGAGTGATGTGCTCCCTTAAACAGTCAACTATTTGAGACCAAACAGTCAACATTTACCCAAAAGCAAAGATGACCAAGGCAAGGAGCGGAAGGGAAACTAGATTAATGGAAACAGAACAAACAAAATGGATATGATGAGAATGCTGACACATTGTGAAAATTATAACCAGTGTCATGGAACAATTTGTATAAAAATTTTTAAATGGGAACCTAATTTGCTGTGTAAACTTTCACCTAAAACACAATACAATATTTCAAAAAAGAAATGTAACTATTATATTTAATAAGCAGAATGAAACAGGTGCATCTGACAATAAATATGTTCTTCATTCTTCTTGCACCTTCAAACCCAATGAATGTCAAGGCTCACTGGTGTACTGAGAGTACTTTCAAGAGATAGGGAGTGAGGAAAGCGGGACAGGGAAGGGGGAAAAGCTGAGCAAGGTGAGATCTCAGCTGGAGTCTAGTTTTGCTAAATTCCACTAGGAATTTTACCACAGAGTTGGCCCAAATTGTGGAGAGCAGGCTGGTGTTTTTTATCTCTGAATTAGCCAGTCAGTCATTGAGGAGGGGTGAGGGTTGTATTATCTCTTAGGCAAAATGGATGTGTTTTGCAAAGACTATTCTCTTGAGAAGGGGGCAGCTGTGAGCCAACACAGCACTGTAAAGCAATTAGGGAAGGGCACTATAGATGTTTTTGTTCTAAAAACCAGACATTCTCACCAGCAGTATCAGCATTGCCTAGGATCTTGTTAGAAATGCAAATTTTGGGGCCCTATCCCAGACCTACTGAATCAAAAACTCTGGGAATGGAGCCCAACGGTATGCGTTTTAGCAAACTTTCCAGGTGATGCTAATGTATGCTCAAATTTGAGAGTCTTGGTTCCAAATGATAGTACTCTTCCTCTGAATTACCAAATACCACTGACTCCGTAGATGGGAGCTGCAGAGGTAACATGACTTACGGTGAATGAAAAGTGCATCAGCTTACTGGCAAAATATTATCCCTGTAATGCCAACCAAGTGTACTGTCTTTCTGACTCAGACTTAAAGGAAACAAGTGGTACCAAAGTAATATTGCATGACTGTCAAGTGAATTGGAAAAATAAGGCACTAGAATAGGATGTTTATTTCCCATACAATTAGAGTACAATTAATATTTAGTATTTAATCAGGGCCTCTAACCCTCAGGCCACTGGATTCCCTTCTTACTTCTACTTAATACTATCCAATTAGCCTGTCCTCTTTCCGTTGTAACTAAGGCCCATGCCTCCTACCTAATCTTGTCATCTATAGAGCTATGCAGCTTGGTTTCTAGCCAAAGAATCTGATCACTTTTCCTAAACTTTCATTAGCCCTCTTCACTCAGAGCAACAACTATTCTTCGTACGTCCTAAAAAATATTGACTGGACATAGCTGTGGCTCTGTTCAGCTGGGAATATAGAGAATCATGAAAGCTAGAATTCTCAACTAACTTTCAAAGGTGAACACAAAGTTCTGCCATTTTTAACTTAAACATGCTCACATAAAATGCCCCATTTCTCTATCTTATTTATACTTTTTACTGAGGGAGCTTGAGTGCTCCAAAATGTAAATCCTTCTAAATAACAACAGGAATTGAGAAAATGGGGAAAATCAGCCTTCTGAACTGGAAACGAACTCTGAATTACATGTTGTTAGTACCAATCATACGATGCCAGATATTTTTGTTTTTCTCTCTTCCCAGTACTGCTTCATCCTCTAATCAAACTCTTAGTCTATAAATATAATGGAGATATCTAGATACAATACTTTGTTCTTCATTCACAAAGTAACCTCAAACACACTATCACAAAATGCATCAGCATTACCGAAGTCAATACTTTTAAGTTTTTTCTTTCATTTAAACTTTCAAAGTATAATTTGAAAAGACAGGATTTCCACCTGAGATCCTTTCCAAAAGCTAGGCTAAAATTTGAAGCATAACAGATTCCTGAGAATATGATTTCAAAAGGTTCTAGAATCATTGGTAAGAGAGAAGAAATTGGTTCCTTTAAACTTTAAAATGTCAATAGTATCTTGAAAATTTTTGGAGGAAAAAAACCATTTTTGTTTATGAAGATTATTGTGTAATGTATAAAAGGTGATGTTTTAGTGGAAAATATAAGCTCAATTTGAATGTTTAAAGCATTCATGGTTTGTTGAGTACAACATTATTCATGTTTCCTCTTAGTATGCAATGTAAATTATGTTAATAAGATTCATTTATAGTGGTACATTTCTATATTGTAACCAGCTTGTGAATCCAAAATTTAGAAGTTTCTATTCATCAACATGAACTGTATAGCTAAATGGCTTTTGTGTTATCTGAAATTTTGCTACAGTGGTTTTTTCAAATGTATATCGTAATGTTCTGTCTTACACTTTACTACTGAGTATATGAAAGCACTAATTATGATTGGGCCTCCGCAATAAATGTATTTTCTTAATTATTTAACAGAAGAATTCTCAATACCATTCAATACTATAATTCCCATGTTAGTACTTTCAATCCAATGGAAACTAAAGTTGGATTTTTGAATTAACTGTTCTTTTTGATGGTTTGTTTTCTTTCACAGAGCTCAACTTCTTGATTATAAGAAGGCTCTGCAGTTGACCAGGTATCTCACAAAGGAAGAGGATTTTTTGCCATGGCAGAGAGTCATTTCAGCAATAACCTATATCATTAGCATGTTTGAAGATGATAAAGAGCTATACCCTCAGATTAAGGTGATGTTAATGATATGATATCTTATGAATGTAAATGTTTAGCCATTAGTAGAATCAGAAAGTTTCTGGGAGAAGTTGCTCCTGGGGGAACACGAGACACAAAAGCATATTTGCCTGCCAAGTGAAATCAGAGGAAAGAGCAATGACTCAACTAATCAAAGCAAGAGATGATACCTTTTCTTTTTCAACTTGCAGTTTATCTGTACTTGCGGTTCAGTGTACCACATAAAGATGTGTTAGTGTCAGAAGGAATACAATAATTAACATTTTACTTAAAATAACATTGTAAACCGTAGATATTAACTAGATCCTATTTTCAATGAATTTATCTACATTAAAATGAATTTACTCTTATCAAAATATAACATTTTATTTCCTTATTCTTACTGTTGTTATTTTTACAGTGAGAAATTTTATCATAAGATAGTCTTTTTTTACAGTGAGAAATTTTATCATAAGATAGTCATTCCGGATGCTTTTTTTTGCTTTGTGATTTCTGTAGCACTTTGACAGAACACTTGTAATTTTAGACAAATTCTCAATTCAAATCTCTAGGTCTTCCATCTACTAAATGAAAGACCTTGGGAAGATGGTTCAAAATTCATAAATCTTAATTCCCTTTGTAAAACAGAAATGTCAGCATTTGCCTACCTATGGTAATGGGGTAGTGAGGATCAAATAATATAAAAGTCCTTTGTAAATCCTTAGACAATATAAACATGTTAGTTATATTATAATACGATATTATTATAATTTTATCAATACTTGCACCATCTTCTTAGTGCAGGAAGTCTGTTATGCGTTATTCTGTTACACATGTTAACTAAGAAATGGAATTTAAAAGAGATCTACCCAAAGTTTTATAAAATATTAGAGAAAGGCCCCGGATAGTTCATAACTTTCATAACTTCAGAATTGTAGCAAAATTTCCATGTGATGAAACTGAGTACGTCCCTTTCCTAAAGACAGGCCCAAAGTTCTATGAACTAATTTAAAAAAAAAAGAAAAAATATTGTAACAGGGGGCTGTAGATTATAATAAATGGTAGACTGTGGATAAATAGTAAGTTATTACTAATTTTACATGTGCCTTTTTTTTTCAGAGTTACTTCCAAGGTCAAGTGAAGCCCATTGCAAGTAGTCTGGGATGGAATGATGCTGGAGACCACCTAACAAAGTTATTTCTTATCTTTTTAAAACTAATCTACATTTAACATTTACTTGTGTGTATTAAGACCCGTTGAAAAATGTTCAAGGCCCAAGTTTTGTGCTTGTTTGTTTGTTTTCTAAGGTTACTCCGGGCCTCTGTGTTAGGGCTGGCGTGCAAGATGGGAGATAGTGACGCTTTGAACAATGCTTCCCAGTTGTTTGAGCAGTGGCTAAGTGGAAGTGTAAGGTGACTATTCAGCATGTTTTCATTTATAAAGACCTTAAGCTGGAGAAATGAGTAATTGGAATCTCTGACACTTTGTTTCTCCTTGGAGTCTTCCTGTAAATCTTAGGCTTCTGGTATATCGGTATGGGATGCAGAACTCTGGCAATGAGACTTCATGGAACTACACTCTTGAGCAATACGAGAAAACATCATTAGCTCAAGAAAAAGAAAAACTGCTGTATGGATTAGCATCAGTGATGAACACTACTCTATTGTCAAGGTAAACTGGGGCTTTTATTTTATTTTGTTGATTTTGCTGTGTGCTGTCAAGTCCATTTGGACTCATAGCAACTCTGTCTGACAGAGTAGAACTGTGCCACAGGGTTTTCTAGGCTGTAATCTTTACGGGAGCAGATCACCATGTCTTTTCTCCTGTGGAGTGACTGGGGGGTTCAAATTGCTGACCTTTCAGTTAACTGCAAAGCGCTTAACCGTTGCACCACCAGAGCTCCTTTTATTTCACTTAGAAGACTGGTATTTAATATTTCACGTGCCACAGTCTCTTCAAAACCAGTTGCCGCTTAGTCAGGTCCAATTCATGGCAACCCGATGTGTGTCACAGTAGAACTGAGCCCCATAAGTTTTTCAACGGCTGATTTTTCAGTAGTAGGTCACCAGGACTTTCTTCCAAGGTGCCTCTGGGTGGACTTGAACTGCCAACCTTTTGGTTAGCAGCCAAGTGTGTTAACTGTTTGCACCACCCAGAAACTCCCTTTAAGCCTCTAATTATTAAAGTATGGTGTCCATTTCCAAAAAAAAAGCCATTAAAATTGTTGTCCCTCCAAGAAACAAAATATTATGTAAGAGTTGTTTAAACAATAAAAAAATGTAGACTCGTATAAAAAAAGTTTGGTAGCAGGCAGTTTCCAATTTTGTGCACCAGCTCAATATTTTCATCAAGTACTCAGCTCTGTCTCTTTCGGTTCTGTCATCCTCAACACGTTGAACGTCTCATGACCTCCAGAGCCAAGCATTATATCTTCACACAAACAGATTCAATAGGAGAAGGATAAGTGTGAAAGAGTTTCTTCTCACAATGCCATGTCTTTTATGCCATGAGGACAATTCTTTCCACTTCTTTTCATAATCCAAAACTGGTAAAGTGACTACCACTTGATTATTCCCTGCCTAAGATGCACTTGAATTCCTTTCACTGATTTTAGACAAATCATGATTCTCTGGGGCAGGGGTGGCAGTTTACCTACCCTAGGATCAAGGATCTCTAATGATGCTGAACAAAACTGGGCTCTGTTGGCAGAGGAGGAGGAGTGTCTGCCACAATGTGTATACACACAAATTATGAATTTATATTCCACTCAAAAGGTACACAGACCACTTTGAAGATCATCTACGCATCTTCTTCCACTCCATACCTATGCTCCAAATCAACTAACTTTTGTTTTAATTCATTTTTTTGCTTAGTTATGGTTTCTCTGTTATTTACTTCATTTATTTAACCAACACTTATGGTGTTCTTTCTATGTATAGGCATATAGATTATGTGAATAAAACAAAAAGGTGTATTCCCAAAAGAATTGAAACAAATACTAAAACAGACACTTATACACCAATGCTCAATGCAGTTTTATTCACAATAGCCAAAAGGTAGAAACAACTCAAATGTCCATCAACAGATGAATGGATAAAGATTAGTATATACATACAATGGAATATTATTTAGCCATAAAGAGAAATGAAGTTCTGATACATACTATGACATGGATGAACCTTGAAAACATTATTCTTCATAAAATAAGTCAGTCACAAAAGGATGGTATTGTATGATCCCAGTTACATGCAATATCTATAATAGGCAAATGCATAGAGACAGAGGGTAGATTAGTAGCTATCCGGGTCAGGGAGAAGGGCAAATATTGAGTTATTGTTTAATGGGTACAGAGTTTCTGTTTGGAGAAATTAAAAAGATTTGAAAAATCGTGGCTGTGGTTGTACAACACGGTGAATATAATTAATGCCAGTGAATAGTACACTTAAAAATGGTTAAAATGGCAGATTTTGTGTTATATATATTTTACCACAATAAAGAAAAGTTAAAAAAATGAATAAGAGTATCTGTCCTTGAGAAACTTACAGCTTCATGGCAGAGGCAGAATGTAAACAGTAAATTACAATGCAGGAGTATATATGCTATAATGAAGAGTCTTCAGTCTTCTCTCTAGGTGTGCCAATTATCAGTGTATTGCCTTTCAGCTCTAAATCCACCTTCCTTTGCCATGCTTTGTAATACTTGGACTCCATCCAGCTTCTCTTGCCAACTGGAGTGTTAGGCTTTGTCACTTGAGGGTTCTGGAAGGATATTGCAAGGCATAGCAAAGAAAGGTGCTTTTCTTCCTGTTTCCAGTGTGTTCTTCATGCTCCTATGGTGCAGATGCCATTGGCAGTAGGGTACCTGGGTGCTCACCATCTTGTGAAGTACCTTTTCACCCCAGTGGGTGGCTTTCTATTCACCAGCCCAGACCTATGAAAAGAAGGGCTAAGTGGAAGCACCTAGAATATCCTAGTGGTGCAATGGTTAAGAGCTTGGCTGCTAACCAGAAGGTTGGCAATTTAAATCTGCCAGCTGATCCTTGGAAGCCCTATAAGGCAGTTCTACTCCGTCCTGTAGGGTTGCTATGAGTCAGAATCAGCTTGACAGCAATGGGTTTGTTTTTTTGGTACCATGATAGTAAACCAGAGCAACACTATATCCTTTGGGAGATTGTAGAGATTAGTTTCACCATCAAAAACTTGAAAGTTTCAAGCATACTGATACTTATCACATCCCCATTTAAGTAGCCTGTACAAAAATTGGATGGATCATAATGACTGTGAGGTATCATAGAAGTATTTAGGTGGTGAACCCAATTGCAGTTGCTGCACCAGATGTAATATGTTAACTAAAGCAAATCAACACACACATGCAGCTATTGATCTGACATATGTCCTTTTCTGTGTAACAATATGTAAGGACCACCATGAAAAGTTTGCTTTTGCTTGTCAGGGCCAACAATACACCTTCACAGTCTTACCTCATAGGTATGTCAGCTCTTCTCTCTGCCATAGTATAGTCCATCAAGATCTCGATCATCTTGGCATTGCACAAAACATTAAACTGACCTATTACTCTGATGACATTATGTTAATGAGAAAATTATCAAGTAGTTTAGATACATTAGTAATATTCTTGTGAACTAGAAAGTAGAAGATAAATTGTACAAAAATTCAAGGTCCCACCACCTTAGTGAATTTCTAGAAGTTCAGCAACCTAGAGCATGTCAAGATATCCCCTCCAAGGTGAAAGAAAAGTTACTTCACCTACCACAAAAAAAGATTTTTTAGTGAGCTTAGTAAGCTTTTTTGGATTTTCAGTGTGCTATCCCACATTTCGGAGCCGTGGTGGCATAGTGGTTAAGAACTTGGCTGCTAACCAAAAGGTCAGCAGTTCAAACCTACCAAGTCACTCCTTGGAACTCTATGGGACAGTTCTACTCTGTCCTATAGGGTTGCTATGATTTGGAATTGGCTCGACGGCAATGGGTTTGGTTTTTTTTTTTTTTTTTAATCCCACATTTCAGTGTATTACTTTAACTTGTCTACAAAGTCTTCCAGTTTTGAATGGGGACCAGAGCAAGGTTCTGCAATTAGTCCAGGCTGAATAAAAGCTTGCCATGAATTCCTTCTTATCTGAAACATTTAGTAAATGTGTCATTTTCATATGAGTGTAGATTTACTCACACAGCTGCAAATGCAAAGAAAATTTACCTTTGACTGAACTGATTGTTTTGAAGAGTTCCACATGTTCAGGTGATGAGCCAGTAAAATGGGAAATAAGTAATTTTGACTATTATTGTCTGTCAATCTAGTTTTTAAATCAGTTGTTAAACTAGAATTCTAGTTTAAATGGTCTCTTTTGAGTAAATGTTCCTTCTTCTAGAGTTCTTTGTCTTCTACATTTTCCTTCTGTATAGGAAAAGGTAAGTCACCTGGTGTGGATGAAGAAAGATACCTCTGGTCCTTGCTGAGTTTTGCCTTAAGGTGTTTACCTATTATGGTCCTGGACTAGAGCCCACTGACTTTACACTGATCATGTTTTACCTGCTGGAGCACTGTCTGTCATCCAGAGATGAAGGTTGCAGCCTCAGTAATTTGCCTCTGTTCACTAAGTATTGTGCTGTGTGGCATTTTTGTCTTCCCAGCAGCTCCCTTAGCATCCCTACATCTTATTGCTAGGCTGAAGAAAGTTCTAGGTCCCCCTACATAGTAACCACAAATCAAAGGAACAGGAACGTGACCTCAAACTTATTACTCTATTTTCCTCTCTCTGTCTAGAATGTACTATCACTCCCATACCATGTTGGACAAAGCACAAAAGTAGATATTGAACTCTAGGGATTAGATGGACCAATGTTTCCCTCAAAGCCAGCGTTTTCTTCAGTCTTACTTAGGGTAAAGTCTTCAAGCCTGGCTCTTCATGTATTAATAAAAATATAATAAATTAAAAATACAGTTTCTCTTTGACAAAGGCTGACTCTCAAAACTATCATCTCACAACTCAAGCTGAACAGTGATCCTTTGTTCTAGGTATTATTTTGTATCCTCCTAAAGACAGGAAAGAAGTGAGTCAGTGGGTAGGAAGTCATGGAGCAACAAGACTTGGAGAATATGAAAATATATATGATCTATCAGCATATAGTCAGGACGTGTTTACAGTCATGTGAAATATCTCATATGACAGCTATGGGAAGAACATGGCCTGAAATTGGATACAGTTCAATTGGATATTTCTAGTCAACAGGTGGCATTCCAGATAATGGTTTGTTGTTCTCTTTGTTTGATACCGCCTGCATATTTTCTTCTTTTTCTCTTCGGTGTGCTTTTTCTGATATCAATATGATATCTGAAATAGCATATTAGCAGAGATAATGGATCATAGTTTTTTCCTTCCAGAGACACAATATGCTAGTTAATTTTAACATTGGTTTTTGAGATGCCTTTCTTATAATGAATAAAATAGGTGCTTATCTTATCTGGAAACACTTTTTGAATAATAATATGCAGTTGTAAGATATTATGCTAGAAATGCAACTGTAGGTACAGTTCTGGCATAAATTTAATAAAATCTATCCATTTGGTCATCTAATTTATCTTGGATTTATTTGTGTTATGCTATAATTATATCAACCAATCTAACCATACAGGTTGCATTTGAAGGTTACTTCTTACAGTCTAGGGAAGGTCAAACTAGGCTTAAGTGTTATCCTATGGAAAAACAAGAGTATAAATATTTTCCCTTAATTTATTGGCTCCTTTTTTTAGTTCAGGGAGTAGTAGTGAGTGAAGTACTTCTATTCAATAAATGCTGTCCTAGTCATCTAGTGTTGCTATAACAGAAATACAATTGGATGGCTTTAACAAAGAGAAGTTTATTTTCTCACAGTCCAGTAGGCTAGAAGTCTGAATTCAGGGTGCCAGCTCCAGGGGAAGGCTTCTCTCTCAGCTCTGGAGGAAGGTCCTTGTCATCAGTCTTCCCTTGGTCTGGGAGCATCTCAGCGCAGGAACCTCAGGTCCAAAGGACATACTCTGCTCCTGGCACTGCTTTCTTGGTGGTATGAGGTCCCCATGTCTCTCTGCTCTCTTCTCTTTTTTATATCTCAAAAGAGATTGGCTTAAGATACTACCTCATCTTGTAGACCTCATCAGTATAACTGCTGCTAATCTATCTTATTACCTCATAGTGCTAGAGTTTACAACACATAAGGAAATCACATCAGATTTCAAAATGTTACATAGTCATACAATACTGGGAATCATGACCCAGCCAAGCTGACAGATATTTTTGGGGGACACAATGCAATCCATGACAAATGCTATATTTTTTTTAATTAATGATTAAAATTCTGTTCTTTATTGTTTGTGGTACTTGCAAAATAATTTATTTTTTAAGGTTTGTATAATTTAAATTTCACTAGTCCTCAAACTGATGTTGTTCTTTAAAAGCAGTTAAATGTATTAGAAAATTTTAACTTGTCTTTCATCATTTGTCATATTTAATTACCTTTGTCAGTTGGTGCCTCAAGAACTGAACTGTTGGAATGAAAGCCATGTTCTATTGGAGTTTAGCGAAGGGTGAACATTAAAAGTTCATTTTCAAATTGTTTTTCTGTTTGACTTCTCTTAGGTATTTGGAAATGCTCAAGAACTCAACCATTATTAAAAGTCAGGATGTGTTTACAGTCATCAGATATATCTCATATAACAGCTATGGGAAGACCATGGCCTGGAATTGGATACAACTCAACTGGGAATATCTAGTCAACAGGTGGGATGATCGGATAATGGTTTGTTGTTCTCTTTGTTTAATACCATCTGCAGATTTTCTTCTTTTTCTCTTTGGTGTAGTTTCTCTGATATCAATACAATATCTGAAATGGCATATTAACAGAGACAAAGGAGCATGGTATTTATCTTCCAGGGAAATGATATGCTAGGTAATTTTAAGCACAATTCCTTTTCTTGATCAAATTTATTGTTTCTAGTGATCAAATAGGACTCTGAGATACGGAGATATGACTGAACTGCATTATTTTTCATTTGGTTAAAACAAGTTAATATAATCCTACCTGTTATGCCAGCACCTAACACATATTAGTCCTCAGTTAATATTTAATGAAAACTGAATGAGAATTCCTGGACCTGGGTTCAAATTAGAGTCTTATATCTTACTGAGCTTTTATGAGTAATAGCGTATTTCTCTTGACCAGATAATTAAACTTGAGGTATCTTTAATAGCACTTAAAAGGGACCTATATTTCCAAGGCAACAGCAGTTTTAAAATGAGAAATAGTAGAACGAGAGCAAAACAAAGGAAAGAGAAGTTTTTCCAAAATTCTTGTTTATTCAGCCCCATGGAGAAGAAATACTGCATTCTCGATCTCAGTCCTCCAGATTTAATGCTCAGTCTCCATTAAAAATGTATGTCTTTGACAGAGTAAAAAAAGTTACGAATATCCCAAATAAATGTGTAAACATTGACCAAAAGACTTTTACCATCTATAATCCCCACACTAGAAAACAGCCTCTGTTATCCCCTCCTGGTCTCTCCTGTCTACTCAGCAGCATAGCCTAGCTGATAAAAACGACTGCTTTATGAGAAATACCAATGGCGAAGATAAATTTTATCTTTTTTCTTTTCTACCCTGCAACTCACCAGAATGCCAGTGTGTTCATTGCATTTCTCTTTCTGCCAGATAATATCTCTAGTCCTGAACCGTTGTTTCTGCCTATTTGTGATAAATGTTTGCCTTTTTTAGTCTTGTCACTATTTAGTATAACTATTCATCCGTCTGTATGAAGATTGTCACACGTGTGTGGGTCTGTGTGTGTGCACGTGTGCTATGTTCGTCTCTTTATAATTGCTTCAGTGAAATGCTTGATTTACAATTAATAAATCTACCTATTGAGAACATGTTATCTGGGGGTAGCAGTTAATATTATACTAGTTAATAACCCCCATTTTGAAAGATGTACATCTAATGACATATATTGTGTGTGTACGTGTGTGTGTGTTTGTTTTCATCAGAAAGACCACAAAACTATCTCTTTTTATGTGTGTGTTACAAGAAACCTATGCAGATAAAATACAAGCTTGCTTTTGAATTATTATGAAAAGACAAGTAAATAATGTTTTATTTTGCATATTAAAATGCCCATTTCCTTATTGCTTATGAAATAGATGGAATGTTTCTTAAGGCCTATTTGAATAGCTCGTGTGTGATTTATTTCAAATAATTCATTTTTTCACTTTTAAAAATGTGTTGCTATAACTATATAAAGAAAAAAAAGAAGTAGAAAAAAATTTGTGTTACCTTTCCATAAATGTCGTAAACATTTGGCCTTAAAATAAATCTGTTAGACTGAATGAGCTGAATTTTTTTCAAAAAAAAGAAAGTGATAGACTATTTCCAGAGCTAGTTCCAAAACCCTAGCCCAGGGCTTTTAATATTCCTTCATAGTCTAATGATCTACTTCTCATGAGGTATTTCAAATGGCCTCAAACATAGAACTGTATAATAACCACATGTCTGACCCACACAAAAAATACCCAGTATTTATTATGGTTAGTTTGAATAAAAAGAATTTCTTCAAGAAAATTGGGTAAGACAAATCAAACAGAAATGAGCTTCATCTAAATATTCCCAAACTCTTGTACTTTTTCCAAATTTTAAAATGAGTAGTTTTACTGCCTCCGTCTCTGAACAATTTACTGTAACCCTAAACAAAATTTTTTTTTTTAAATAAAGCTTTGCCTTGTGATTCTCATGACAGCTGATGACCACATTATTAACGTCCTCGCCAGTTTGAGATTTAACCCCAAATTTCCAAAGACACTTTGGAAATTATTGTTTGCTTTTGTCTCTTCCCTGGTGGTTCAGTGGTTAAAGCAATCAACTGCTAACTGAAAGGTCGGCGGTTTGAAACCACCAGCAGCTCCATGGCAGAAAGATGTGGCAGCCTGCTTCTGTAGAGATTTACAGCCTCGGAAACCCTATGGGGTCACTAGGAGTCAGAATCGACTCGACGGCAGTGGGTTTGATTTTGGTTTTTTTTTTTCTTCCACTAAACTCTTAGATGAAACTGTGAAATTGAGTGAACCCAATAAGTCAACAGTGTGGTGTGATACAGCTTAATTTTGATTTATGACTATCAATGAAATTGTAAGTCAATGTGACGTGACTGAAACAATTTAAACTACTTCATAAATAATTTAATAAGCACTTAATTAAAGTGAGCATCAAAGCCATTTCTTTTGGATACTTTAATACTTACAGAAGAGTGAAATGTGAAATATCAAGTCCAAGAAGATGGTTTTTATATACTATAACTATTTTTCAAAATTAAGATATAATTAAACTCTCATTTTAGTTTTAAAAGTAACCAATATGAAATATTCAGCATATTTTCCCCTTATTTTCTACTCTTTATATAATATTGGTTTTCAAGATGAACATAGTTTGTTCTCATATTTCTAGTAATCCTATAGGGACTTACAGTCTTTTTTTAACCTACTCATTTTCTAGTTCCCAAATATGACCTTTAATTTTTAGTCTCTAAGAACAGAACAGAAGATAAGTATTATAGAAATTATAGAATGTCGCTAAAGAAAATTGTTTAATTTTATGTAATTAGGAGACTTTTAATCTATAGAATGTCTTTACAGAAACTTGGTGTAGTTTCCTTTAAAATATCCATCTTCTTTTTATAAAAAAACATGTTTTTGTGTGTGTGTAACATGCAGGTAAGCAAAAATGAGAACACAAAAATCACCTATAATCCTACCACATAGAAATAACGCCTATTGTCACTTTACTATTTTTCTATGGCTATTTATTTATTTACAGAAATGGAATCATAATATACACAGGGTTTTATAAACTGCTTTTTACACATAATTCTATATTGTGGATGTCTTTAAGTACACTTTTCAATGCTATTTTTAATGGCTTCATAGCATTTCAATGTGTAGATGTGACTTAGTTTATTAACCAATTCCCAATTGTTGGACAATAAAATTGTTTCCAACTTTCCACTACTATAAACAACATATTGTTGAACAACATCTCTGAAACTGAGTATCTTTGTTGTTTTTGAGTGTTCTTGACAATTTCCATAGGATACGATGTTAGAAGTAATACTGCTGGGTTAAAGGATGTATTGACTTTTAGGGTTTCTGATAACTGTTCCAGAATTGCCATCCAGAAAATTTTTCCTTTGCCTATTTTTCCAGCTGTCGCCAACACTTAGTGTTGTCATTTTTAAATATCTTTGTGAACTGAATAGAAAAAAAAAAATCTCATTTTAAATTATAATTCTTTCATCCAGTAAATATGGCAGAACATCTGCTATGTGCGAGGCATTATGCTTGGCAATTGGAGATACAATAGTGTAAAGAAACAGACCCAGTACTCTGTCCACACAGAGATAATAGTCAAGTAACAGAGACAAATATTAAGTAAAGAATCACACCAATACATGCATGCTTTCAATTGTAATAACTGCCACTAGAAAAGATTCAAGGTGCACTTAAAGAATGTAAAGAGGAATTCTGACCAGGGACACAATAGAAGGTCCCAGATAGGGTGGGAAAAAAATATAGAGCAAAATTCAGATTCCTAAAAAAAGGCCAGACTTACAGGACTGATAGAGACTAGAGAAACCCCTAAGACTATCACCCTTCAAACTTGGAACTGAAACCACTCCTGGAGGTCACCTTTCATTCAAATAATAGATTGGCTTATAAAATAAGCAGTATCACTCATAAGTAATGTGCTCCCTTAAATAGTCAACTATATGATTATTTACGGTCAACATTTACCCGAAAGCAAAGATGAGAATGTAAGGAGGGGTAGGTTAGCTAGATTAGTGGAAATAGAACAAACAAAATGGAAATAATGAGAATGCTGACACATTGTGAAAAATATAACCAATGTCAAGGAACAATTTGTATAAAAATTGTTAAATGGGAACTTAATTTGCTGTGTAAACTTTCACCTAAAACACAGTAGAATATTATTTAAAAATAAATAAACGACTGTAAAGAGGGAACTGATTAAGTGAAGGAGAGTTGGAGGTAAGTGTTTCCCTAATGAAGTGATGGTGTAGTTGAATGCTGAAGGAAGAGCAGGAGTTAATTAGATGAACAGGGAAATAAACGTTTCTGGCTAAAGACCTAGGTTCAGGAAAGAAGAAAGATAAAGGTCAAGCCTTCCAGTTAAAAATATTAAAATTTGGGCTTTTGTTCTAAAAGTAATGGTAAATCTTTATTAAAGGGTTTTAAGGAACAATGGAAATTATCGGTTTTACTTTGAAAAGAAAGCTTTGGTGGTAAGGTGAAGCACAGACTTCCATCCAGTAATTTTGAAGGGGGAAAGGGACCTGAATAGATTTGGGAAAAGCAGTTAGAGAGTTATTATGGTAGTCCTGGCCAAGAGTAAGTGGTAGATTGGACTATGGATGTGATGGTGAAGAAGAAGAGGTAAGAACAATAACATTTATAACTTGGTGGAAGATTGGAAATAGGGGAGGAAAGTGAAGGACAAGGATAATGTCTAGGCTTCTAGAAAAGATAAGATTTGTAGAGGAATAATCATCAGTTCAATTTGGTATCTATTTTGCCTGCAAGTCTCTTGAGATTTTAAAATGCAGATTGGTTCAAGGAGGGTATGGTGCCTTGTCAACTACAATTTAAAGTTCGAGTAAATTGAGGGTTGAAAAAAATCCATTGGAGTTACTGACATAAAAGCCATGGATAACTCTAGAAAGAGTTTTTCAGTGGAGTAGTAGGGCAGAACCTCAGCTGAAGCAAATTGATAAATGAGTTAGTCATGAGGAGATGGAGACCAAAAATGTAAAGAAATTTCTTGAGAAGTTTGACTGTGAATGAGGAGGAGAGAGAAAAGATATAGGTGAAGAGACAACGTAAGATGATAGGAGAGTTTCTTTTTTTTCTCCTTTTTTTAATGCAAAATATATTTCAACTTATTTAACACGTTTAACAGCTGATGAGAAAGACCCAGTGGAGAATGAGATATTTAATATATAACAGAGAAAAAAGATTTTTTTTAATTAATTTTTTTGAAAAATGAGGAGGGATAGGAACCAGAGCACAGGTATAGTAGGAGGGTAGGCGTATTTGTATGTTTGTGTAAGAAAGGAGCCTTGGTGGCACAGTGGTTAAAGTGCTTGGCTGCCAACCAAAAGGTCAACGGTTTGAACCCATCAGCCACTCTGCAGGAGAATGATGTGGCAGTCTGCTTCCATAAAGATTTATAGGCTTGGAAACCCTATAGGGCAGTTCTGCTCTGTCCTACAGGGTCACTATGAGTCAAAATCGACTTGACAGCAGTGGATTTAAACTACAAGATGTAAGAGTTATTATGTATTTTCTCTGTAAGTAGAAGGCAAGGTCATCCTTGGGAGGGGGTAGGGAAAAGGGAGCATACTTGGAGGTTGGAAGAGAGTAAAAACATTTGAAAAGGCAATTCAAAGAGAAAGAGAATGAGTTGGCCAGAGTAATGTAGGAGGATTGTCAGTGTGGAGGGCTCATTTAAGAGTGATGTACCTGGATTTATAGTGAAACAATACGGAGAGAGTTGGGTGACTCACTTGTCAGAACCTTGCCACCAGGTACAAACACAAAGAAAATGGGCAGTTGATTTCATCCAAAGCTAGGGTTTTGCAGAAACAGATGATTAAAATACAACAGCATTTAGAGTTTAGGCAAGAATGTTATTGAAAATGATGGACCATGGAATCTAAACTAGATAAGGGAAGAAGTGAAAGAAAAGAAAGAGGTGATGGTCCAGGAGAAATTAGGGGTGGAGATGGTCCATGAGGCTAAAGATTCAGATAAAGTCAAAAAATGGTCATAGTGGAAACTGAAAGGTAAATTATGTCATGGAGAGTGTATAAGTTAATAATTTTAGAGGCAGGGTGCTTATGAGTGATAGATACAACTATGGGAATTGGTGGTGGAGATGGAGTGGATAAAATATTGGAAATGAAGAGGTCAAGAAACTAAGGAGCTGAGCTGTTAGATGGATCATCCATGTGGCTCTTGAAATCACCATGACGTGGAGTGGAGAGGATGACTATGAGTCAGGCGCTAAGGTGTATAATAAATGAAGTTTTTAAGGACTGTGGAGGAATAATGGTCTGGAAACAGCAAAGGGAAGCATGACTCACCCACCCGATTTCCTGACCTAGTGCTACAAAGGATGTGAGGAAATAAACATTCTCCAGATGAGAAGTAGTATTTCCTGCAAAGGGGAGAGTTGCAGAGGGCTAGTTGGAAGGGTTTGAGAGATTTGGGAGATCTGTAGCCTTAGTGGTGCAGTGGTTAAGAGATATGGCTGCTAACCTAGTGTTCAAATCCACCAGCCACTCCTTGGAAACCCTATGGGGTAGTTCTACTCTATCCTATAGGGTCGCTATGAATCGTTATCGACTCAACGGCAACAGGTTGGTTGGGTTCAGAGGCTGGGTCAGAAGCAAGGAAGTACACACCATTACAAGGATAATGTTGTGCTAGAAAATAGGATGTCTCAGAGTCTTACATTTTGGATAATGACTAATAACAGTAGAGATGAAAGACATTGTAGATTTAAATTCAATGGTGTCTGTAATCAGAGCCCTGGTGGCACAGTGGTGAAGAGCTTGGCTGCTAACCGAAAGGTCAGCAGTTTGAATCCACTAGTCGCTCCTTGGAAACCCTATGGAGCAGTTCTGCTCTGTCCTTTAGGGTCATTATGAGTCGTAATCAACTCAACAGCAACGAGTTTTGTGTCTGTAATAAGAGTGGACATTGGACCTAGTACACTGAGGATCATGGTTGATCACTAGAACATTTCATCTAGTACATTTTTCTTTTATATTTCTCTTGTGAACTGCTGATTCATTCCTTTGCTAATTGCATATTGGCATATTTCTCCTTACAAATTTGTAATTTTTTTAATAGTAAAAATATTTGCCCTTTATTATATATGTTGAAGGAGTTCTGGTGGCACAGTGATTAAATGCTCAGCTGCTAACTGAAAGGTTGGCAGTTAGAACCCACCAAACCCTCCACAGGAGAAAGATGTGGCAATCTGCTTCCGTAAAGATTACAGCCTTGGAAACCCTACGGGGTAGTTCTACTCTGTACTCTAGTGTTGCTATGAGTCAGAATTGACACGACAGCAATGGGTTTGGTTTGGTTTTTATTATATGTGTTACAATTATTTTTTTTTCCAGTTAGTTTTTTACTTTTAATTTTGCTTATGGTTGTTTTTGTTGGTTTGTTTCTGTTTTTGTTTTTTTGGTATAAAACTCTTTAATGTGCATGCAATGAACATGGTCAGTTTTGATCTTCCTGGTGTCTTTTTTTGTTATGTGATACTTTTTAAATGTAAATTTTCCCCTGCTGCTTGATCACCTCTTTACATACAGACATATTTTCTTGCATCTCTCTAAAACGTTCCAACATTCCAACCATTCAGGTTTTATACAGAAATGTTCGTGGTTGTTTTTCTTGTACTTCAATTAGTTGTGATGGAATTTTTACATGTTACACAACCATTTGTGCTATAGCCTGTAGGGCAACTTCTGATTCTTGTTCTTTAAGAGAGGAAATGCAAAAGGGACAGGGAATTCTCTAGAAATTCTATCTTGACATTTAGATTCAAGTGTCTTTCTTAGCCAGCCTGATATAGATCATAACTCCAACTATGCTAATAGCTAATAAAGCATTTTGAAAGCACAATAAATATGCAGGAAGATGCATAGTGTGTAGTTAGGATAAAAGCCAAGCAGTTGTAACAGACACTCAGAAATGCAGTGACTTAAAAGACCTTGGTAATTATTGCTCCTGAAGTGGGCAGTCCGAGTTGTGCGGTGGCTCTAGTCCACGAGGCAATTCAGGGACTTAGGTTCTTTCCCTCTTGTTGTTCAACCATCTCTTACAGCACTATTCTATCTCTGTGGTTGAAGCTGGATCTAGTGTGTCCATGTTATAGCTTTCGGGAAGAGGGGAAAAAAAAAGAAGTGTAAGGCAAGCAACTTCTTTTATTTTAAAAAAAGGGAAAGCGGAAGTTGGAAGGAGGCAAAAGTTACACATATACGGCTTCTGCTCATGTTCTGTTGGTAAGCATTGAGTCACACGTCCAAACCTCGCTGTGAGGGAGGCTGAGAAATGTGGTCTCCAGTTGGGTGTTCATGTGTGCAGGAAAAAGGGAGACCAGATTTGGAGAGTACAATTAGCAGTCTACCACACCTGGGAAAGTGGAATGAATTTGCCTACATAAAGAGGTGCATGATTTTACTAAGAATTTCTCGCGAAAAGAATTTTTTTTAATTAAATGTAAAATAATGTTATCTGACAATTACTTAAAAAAAAAAAAAAAGGAAACACGTGTATCCAGAGAAAATACGTAAAGTTCTAGCACTGACACTCCCTTGTACACCTCTAAATTTCTCTTCAGATACACCATCAATGACAGAAACCTTGGCCGGATTGTCTCAATAGCAGAGCCTTTCAACACTGAGCTACAACTCTGGCAGGTATGAAGATAAATCCCTCTATGTTCTTATCCAGGAACAGAATTAAATTTGATTTTTTTTTTACTATAGAAATGATATTTTCTCCATTCAAACCACAGAAGACTATGGGAAAGAAATAATTCCTGTATCTAATAAAATGTATAATTTTTTTTTTCCGAAACCAATCAAGAAACAAAAAGAAAGTTTCAAAGCTGATAAAGGTGAGGCCTTGGAAGGCTGAGAAGGCTGCCTGAGACCTTTCAGTTTACCAAAGCATGAACAATACAGAACCCTAGAATAAGTTGGTTAAGAGTACTCAGAATTCATAGTTTCAGTGTAAATTCAAATTATTCAGGTTTCAAATAGCTCAATTCTCAGGAAAATAACGTCTATTCATGTTGGACAAATGGAGATTGTATACATTTTTAATATCTGTGTATTAGATATTAGAATGTTAAGATTCCGCTGTATGTTAAGAAACAAAATAATTCTTGTTTTTGTAAGTAGCCAGTAATACTCTGATTGAGTTTGGGGGAGGGTTTTGCAGAGAAGAGGGAGGGTAACAACCAGCTTCACAGAGATTTTTTTTTTAACGAGCCCTTAGTAAGTAAACTAAAAGTATATTAAAATACTCCAGATTCCTGGGGTGAAAGGCTAAGCAAGACCATCATTCCACAAACCAGATTTTGCAGGGAACACCCTGGGGAATGCACAGAAAAGAAGGAAACCAGCAGAAGCAGAAATGGGCATACAGCCTCTGGTATGCTGCCCTCCTTCCCCAACTGTCAGAGCCTTTTGGTTTACGAACTGCTGGAATACAAAAGCCATAGGCAGAGATTGCTAATCTGAGAGATGAGCTCAATCTGAATGATGGGGCAAGAGATGGGTCTCAACGTTGTTAAGCAATACCGAATGTCTAGATAAGAATGAAAAAATCCAGTTTGTAATTAAAATTCTTGAAGACTAATTGGGCTTAAAATGACCTCCTTAGTTATCATTTCCCTTTCTTTTCTAGATGGAGAGCTTCTTCGCCAAATATCCAGAAGCTGGAGCAGGAGAAACACCTAGGCAGCAAGTACTGGAAACTGTGAAGAACAATATTGAGTGGCTAAAACAAAACAGAGACACCATTAGAGAATGGTTTAGTGCTTTATCTAGGAATAGCTAATGTGTTCAAATAATGCATTTTAATTTTGTGAATATATTATTTCTCCTGTTAAGCTTTTGGCCATCTGATTTGTAAGCACGATAGAGGGAGCCTTATAAACAGATACTACTTTTGCTAAGTATTGGGTTTATATGTCTTCCATAGCTTTTAAATTGCTCCTCTTTGTTTATGAAGGAAGATATTAATAGAATATTTAATATACTCAGGGATTTCTTCTAAGTGTACTTCGTAGGAGATTTTTTACAAACTGAAGAGAATTTAATAGTAATTTTAATGTCTTTAAATATCATTCTTTTTATCTTAAATCTGTGAAAATAGAACATTTTAGTCTTAGCTTTACATTTTTAGTACCAAGGAAACACCATTTAATCTTCTCTCTTGGTCGATTTTTAAAATCTAAATACCAGTACTTGAGGGACCAAAATTACCATCTTAATCTTTATTTTATTATCAGAATTACACAGACCTAGTATTATTTTATTCACATGTGTTTTACTACTTTAAATCCTACCAAAGTAACCTGGGCTTAAGTTTTACTCAAAGATTCATGAATTAGCTAAAGAAATGGCCGACTGTTGCCTTTGCTCTTATAAAATCAACAAGAAAACTCTCCTCTCCTTTTTAAAATAAATCTGAATGATTACCCTGGGGGAAAAAATAATGCTTCCCAGTGTCACTTTACTTTTGAATAAAAGTGACTGTATCATTCTCCAAATAATTTAGCATGTTGTAAATATGATTCAACAACCCTGGCCTTTTTCATGCTTTGGTTCTCGGTCATCTTGCTCCATTCCCTACAAAGCTCCTTCAAATATGCTATGAAATTGGAGGGAACATAGTGCTTAACTCTGCTGTATGGATTTTAGAGGGGGAAAGCTAAATAACTGGAAACTGGTCAGGAAACAGAAAAGGTTGATTATGCCATAAAACTCAATGGAATTAGAATTGGGCTTTGACCTCACTTAGCACTCTAAGTGTGAAAATAGGAAAACCCGTGGACACCTTCAGCATGACTCTGCATATCTGAGGCAATATCTTCTTATAGATAAGAGTTTTGTGTAGAAACCCTCAGATCCAAATCCTTACAGAATAGCACTGATCAAATGTATATGCACGACTTGATTAAAGACATCGATTTGTTTAGGAGCTGGTGAGAAGAATATATTTAACATGTCACGCAATACCTGGTAGATCCACGATGTAAGTTTAATAGGCAGAAAAGATGATAAATTACTATGTTCTGATTTAGTACATCTTAAAAATCTGAATTTATTTGGTACCTTCAGAAGTATAAGGTAATTTAAGATTTGCTTGATACGAATTGAAACACATGGGAACAACCAAAATCTTAAAACAATAATATGCCCCTACCCTCTGCTGAAACTTTGTAAACTTTCCCAACGTGGTCTCTTAATTATTATTTCTCAGTCCACATAGCTAAACTGGAAAATTCAAATGTAGGCTGGAGGGAAAAAAAAAAAAATGAAAGAAGCAATTTTGAGACAATTTTTTTTTAACTATTAAGTTAGTTGAGAAGAAACAATGCAGTAACACCATAAATTATCAGGAAAATCTTGCTCTCCTCTTGAGGATTAACACCCTAACTTCAAATTCTAACCACAATCAGAACCAACACTAAAAGTGCATTGTTTAAAGGATAAATAAGTAAGATAGTTTATCCTTCTGCTTTATGTAATAAATAATTTTTTAAAGAAAAATATAAGTTTGAGGGAGATGGTTAAGTAAAAGTTTCCAACTTGCCTACAAGTCATTCTTTCATTCCATTTCAAGCACTAAAACTGACAATGAATTGTCTAGTTCTCCTCACTCCCTATGAAAAAAAACTGCATACAATAACAAAACTTTGTCATAATAACTCCCTCAGACCCTTCTTAAGCAGTATCTTGTTCTTAAAAGGCTGATGTCCAATAGATAGATCTATAGCAAACACAGTTTACTACTGGTTTTGTCAAGATTTTCACAGGAAAAAGAAGTATGTTGTTTCCAAAATTAAACCACAAAGAACCATTACACGAATAGACATGTACACACTCATGTTCATTGCCGCGTTATTCACAAGAGCAAAAAGATAGAAACAACCTAAGTGCCCATCAGCAGATGAATGGGTAAACAAACTATGGTACATATACACAATGAAATACTACACAATGATAAAGAACAGTGAAGAACATATGAAACATCTCACGACATCGATGAATTTGGAGAGCATTATGCTGAGTGAAATAAGTCAATCACAAAAGGCCAAATAGTGTATGAGACCACTGTTATAAAACACTTGAAAATGTTTCCACATAGAAAGAAACAATCTTTGATGGTTACGAGGGAGGGGAGGGAAAAACACTAACCAGATAGTAGATAAGTGGTAACTTTGGTGAAGGCTACGAATACAACATACGGGGAAGTCAGCACAACTTGACCAGGGCAAAGTCATAGAAGCTTCAGGGACAAACCCAAAAACCGAGCTACTGAGAGACCATAGTCTTAGGGGACATCTAGCTCAACTGGCATAATATAGTCTATAAAGAAATTGTTCTGCATCCAACTGTGCCGAGTAGCATCTGGGGTCTGAAAAGCCTGTGAGCAGCTATTTGAGATACATCTATTGGTCCCATCTTGGCTAGAGCAAAGGAGAATGAAGAAAACCAAAGACACAAGAGAAGAAGTAGTCCAGAGGACTAATGCACCACAACTACCACAGCCTCCATCAGACGGAGCCCAGAACAGCTAGATGGTGCCCAGTTGCCACCACCGACTGCTCTGGCAGGGATCGCAATAGAGGGTCCTGGACAGAGCGGGAGACAAATGTACAACAAATTCAAATTCACCAAAAAAAAAAATCACAAAAGACCAGGCTTGTGGTCTGACAGAGCCTGGAGAAACCCCATGAGTATGGCCCCCCGACACCCTTTTAACTCAGTCCTGAAGTCACTCCCAAGGTTCACCCTTCAGGCAAAGATTCTACAGGTCTATAGGGCCAACAATAACACAGATGAGGAACGTGCTTCGTAGTTCAATTCATGCATAGGAGACTAATGGGCACACCAGCACAAAAGCAAAGATGAGATGGCAGGAAGGGACAGGAATCTGGACAAACGGAATCAGGGAACCCAGGAGGAAGAAGGGGAAAGTGTTGGCAACCAATGTCACAAAACTATTCATGTATTGTTTAATGAGAAACTAATTTTCTCGGTAAACTTCCACCTAAAGCGCAATAAAAAAAAAAAGAAATTAAACCATAGAAAAACCAACAACTTCAAGGAATTAACTGGAAGAAATGGATCAGCAAGGTCTTCTGTAGCAAGAAGCAAGGCCAAGGTAGCTTTGCCTCTCCTCTAGGCGACCTACTCCTGTATTCTAGATCATTGCTATGCACCCACATAAAGAGAACATTTCTATTAAGAATTTAAATAATAAATCATGAGTGTAAAACCAGCAGGTAAATAAAGACTAGGGAGCAGAGATACACATCTGGTTTGAAAGTAATGGTGTTCCTTCAGTTTACTCTCCAGGTTGTTGAAGGGTAAATAGGGTAGGGGCAAAAATCCAGAACATTCTTTCTTGAAGGGGGTTGGAGAATGAGTAAGCAGCAGGAGGAGGGGGACTAAAATTACCAATGTAGCTTTCCAAAAATATGACTTTGTAGTAATACTAATAACACTTTTTTTTCTTTTTGCCAAATGCTGTTCTAAACACTAGCACTTCATGCACCTTAATTTTTACATTTAATCTTTACAAAATACCCAAAAGTAGGTACTGTTATTATCCTCATTTTACAGATGGAGCAACTAACATAGAAAAGTTACAGAATTTGCCCAAGGCGATAAAAGTAATATCTGGAATCAGCCAGGATTTGAACCCAGGCAGTTTCTCTCCAGAGCCTATGTTCTTAACCACTATGTTACAGTAGAAGCATGATCTTTGAAATCAGAAGAATCTGAATTTCAACTACTTGGCAGTTAAGTGCCCTTATCCTCTCTATTACTCAGTTTTCTCATCTGCAAAGTGGGGATAATAATAGTAACTGCCTCATACGGTTGTTATGAAAATTAAAAGAAAAAATGCATGTGCAGGACCTGGGAGATAATATTCATTCAATAGTTGTTAGCTGTTATCATTATTACTATTTTTTAACACCTCCCAGTCTCCATTTAACACATTAGTTTGGAGAATATAATAAACTTAGCCTCAGGAGTAACCAGACTGAGGCAAGTGAAGGCACTAAAGATGGGCGATGTGTTAGACTATGTTATTGTTCGTAAACAGCCACTGCCCTTCCTTGGGAACGGATTCTATTTTCCACCCCACTGATGTCCAGCATGGGTGTGTGTTGCTTTATCCAGTGAAATATGAGTGAAGGTGATGAGTGTTAACTTCAGGCAGAAATGTCCAGAGCCAGCACATAGCTTGCCATGTTCTCCATTTTTCTTCTGCCATTAGACCCAGCAATGTACAAGGCTTCCCTGTACCTGGTAGAAGGATTAACAGCATCCCTGGTTTCTGTACACTAGTTTCCAGTAGCACCTCCCCCAACCAAGCAATGTCTCCAGACATTGCCCAATATCCGTTATGGGGCCAAGTCTCCACTTTAAATTTGTGAATAGATGCTGCAGGCATTATTTAGCCACCCTTAGCAATAGGTGAGGAGAATGCTGGTGACTTAAAGAAGGGTCCTGCCCGAGGTTATAAAAATTGAAGGACCACGAGAGGGATAAGAAGCTTGGGGAAAGGAGAAATAACGAAGAAAATACAGATAAGGTACTCATTTATTCATTCATGTAACTAATATTTATAAAGTGTCTGTCATATGACAGGCATTCTTTTCGGTACTGGTTGTCATGGATTTGAGAGTGGATTTAGAAGGCTCTATCAACGATGTGCACCTGTGTGGGTTTTGGAAGGACAAGAGAAAAGAGGACATTCTTCTTTTTCAGGACAATGCAAGAGAAAACAGTCTGCAGGGGTGGACGTGTGTTGGCAGC